TGGGTGAACACTGGGACTCATGATTTACTATCTGGTGACTGTATTCATTGCCTGAGTGAAAGAACTGGGATAACCAACCATGAGAAAAAAACCCAAACCACCACAAAACCCAGTGGGGAGGAGGGGTGGGAGGAGAGGAGGCTACACAATAGTATTGTGCCATTCTACACCAAGCTTTCGGTAGAGCTCAGAACATTTTAGAAAAGTGGGCAAGTCTGATCCCATTTTGAATAATAACTGGGATAAAGAAGAAAATTACTTCTCCAAAGAGTCCCAATGCTTCTGTTGTTAAAAATGGGGGGTGAATGCACATACCTCTTTCCACACTTTGTTCTTGAAGCCCTTAGAAGAAACTGGCGGTGGCCTCAGTGAAACACAAAATGTATACTTTTAAATTGCTTTGTTGCTTGCGTGAAGCTGATGGTTTCCATTTTATCATAGGAGGTATTGTGTTGTGATGCTTTAAAGGTAGTTTGTGCTTCCTCTGCTTGTATCTATTTTGTAATTAAATAAAGACCTTCAGACTCCAGAGAAACTATTCCAGCACCTTTTCTCTGCAGTAAATTACGGCCAAATAACAAAATGTTTTAAACTCTCAAAGACTGTAACTAAATACAGCCAGCATTCCCTTACTTTCTGAATTACTGCAAGAGAGCCAAATTCTCTGTGGTGGTTCAGGAGATCAAGGGCACTTACTCATAAGTGAACATGCATGCTTACTACACTGTAGGGGCATTGTATTGGGAATAGTGCTGTCCACATATGGAGATGCTGGATGTCTAAAACTAAGCCAAACAGTTCCTGTGCCTGAAATCCCTTCCTTGAGAGCATAGAGTCATTTCAAACTATAGGTGTAAACTACATTGACTTTTTTGTGTGTGTACCCTGAACGCCAGATGAATGTCTGTATTTACAAAGGACCACGAAACAAACTCTGTGAGTGGAACTCTACTGTCGGTGAGAGCTCCCACTGCCAAGTGCACAGAGTCTGAAAAGCTCTGTTATTGAGGTCCAGCACAGGGTAGCTGCTGTGAAGAGCTGTCATCATCTGATGTCTCTTAACAGCTTTTAAGTTCTGTAGTAAACATGGTGACTACTTTCAAACCAGAGCAGCAGCAGCGTGCCAAATGTACATTCCTCTTGGAGGTCTTGGGCAGTAAAAACATTTCTGACTCTGTTAGCTGGATCTGAGAGGCAGGACAGCTGCTTAGTGCACTTCTAAGGTAGTCCACCATCTCCTAGGAGGACACCTCGGCTTCATTTCTTTGTAATTCTGACTCATCTTTGACCTCTCAAGCTGAAAACCTGTAAACTTTCCTTTAGAAAATTTCAGCCAAAATAGTAATATAATTTCCAAAGGCAAAACAAGGAAAACTCATTGTATTATCCGTGTTAAAAATATTCTGGAATCTCTTCTGAGAAACCCAAGCAACTTTGTGGCTCAGGGGAAAAAAAAATGGAAATTTGTAAGTGTATCCACTGCATTAGGAATGCTCTTTTTCACCTTGAGGAACACCTGGCCACGTTGTAGCCCTCTGAAAAGTCACACCAATTTAATGAAAGCTCCTTTATCAGCCAAAGCCTTCGTCAGTGATCATGGCCCAACTACTGTGCCTGACTGGACTTTGAGTGTGCACCCCTTACCAAACAAATAAAGGCAACCCACCGTGCTCCAGCTCCAATAATCCACCAGGAGTGCAAACTCTGCCATCTGAGCAGGCTCACGCTCAGAGGCTGTGGGGGCAAAGGCAGACTTTGCCCACAACACCTCCTTGGCCAGGAGCCAGGGAAAAGGCACTGGGATAGGGTGGTGTAAAGCAGCACTGAGAAGGAAGCCTCCACGTTCTGCTCTGCTTCATTTGCCTCCTGGCAGGTGGGTAGTGAGAAGGAAGGAGCTGGTGTGGCTGTTTAGGGGAGAGCATAGCCCACCAGGAGAAAAGAGGAGATAAAGAGCTTGGAGAAACTTAAGATCCTGAGAGCCAGGATGTGGAGGAGGGATTTGCTGAGTGAGGACACTGTTGAAGGAAGCTGACATGGGTGAGGTGAGGTCTGGGATTAGCTAGGCAAAGAGGAGGGAGGATGTGTTGCTGAGGATAGTGGGGACCAGGAGAAACAGAGCTGAAAGGAACTGGGGTATGGAGAGGGCAGGAGTGAGTAGAAGGGTGGTGACAGAAATGGTAGGAGCAGGAAGGGTGAATGGACTGCAAGGCAGCTCACGTCAGATGAAAAGACAAGAGCTGGATTTAGTTTTCAGCAGAGGAAAAGGAATGAGGCATGGATGGGGAAGCAGAGGTGGATGGAGCGAGAGGGAAGAGAAACTAGGTAGCAGAAGCAAGAACTGTAATATCTGATTGGGTAACCCCAGCTCTGACTGTAATGTGGGAGCAAAGAGGCCAAATGAAATTTGTGTGAGCAACCTGTCGTCTGGAAATTCCAAACCCTTGGAGTGCCTCCTTACCCATAATGCTCTCCACTTCAGGTGTGCACATGTGCCATAGAGAAACATAGAGAACTCCAAGTGGGCAGACATACATTAATGTGAACGTGCAGCTTTCCAAGAGATCACACAATGCAAAGGTTGAAGCTCTAGCATGGGGTTCTTTTTCTCCACATATTTGATGTCATGTATATCAGAAAATATCAGGATCAGTCCTGGTTCCTGCAGGGTCTTTGAGACAAGTTGAATCATCTGGGTTGAACTGTCTGAGAAAATGAAATCTCTGGAATTTAGAAAGTTAGAAAGGCAAAGTTGCTGTAGTTTGTCTCAGTAATAGGGTGACCTTCCAACCATAGACTGTGAACTGCAGGATCCTGAGGTAGCTTTTGCAAGGCCTGTCTAAAGGTCTGTAAGAAAAGCAGAACTTTTGCTCAAATTCGCTACAATCGCAAATTTTACATATAGAAATTGGGGAAACATTGTAAGTCTTTAATGAACAGTGTAAAGATATGTGGGAGACCAGGGACACTTCAGAATCAGGCCTCCTCTTACAAAGTGGCCAGTTCTACGGAGCCAAGGTTTAGCATTTGAGTGTATGGAGTTTTTGGACACTCTTTGGGTCCCCTGTCTGCCCAGGGTCATCCTTTTTGGTGAAGATAAATTGCTTCTACCCATCATAGCTTTAGGTTTTAGTTCCAGCTGGGGTATGCTGGTGATCCTGAGGTACAAAATCATCTGAGTATGTTGCAGTTCACTTCGGTTGTATAAATCCAAGCATTAGCTGGATACTATAAATAGCCAGGCTGTACGAGGAGGCCAAGTCGAAAATGTGCAGGAACCATGCCTTTTTTTTCTTTAATGCAACCCTGAAGATGTGCTACATTTCATCATGTATAGTAATTTTATTCTGAAAAGGAAAAAATATGGATGTGCTTTGTGGCTTTAGTAATTAACTGGACATAATGAAGCGTTGAATTTCACATTTCAGAGAAGTGGATGGGGGATGGTGGGTACATTTTTCTCAAGTTTTCTTGCTTTTAGTTCTCTCTTGGAGGTAGTTTTCTGCAAGATTGGGTAGGGAGCAAGACTACATCTGTTTTATATTATATGATGGCTGTACTTTGGCAATGGAAGAAGATGGCACAAAAAAAAGGAAGAATAAAAAAGAAAAGCTTGGCAACGACAGAATGGAGCAACAATTACTAGAACTATCTTAAAATTCCCAGGATTTGTAATTTGTTTTTCCACGCTTGCATTTTTCTGATGTTGCTGATGTTAAAGGAGTGAGACGGAGGAAATTCAGTCAGATTTTGCAAAGCACAGATATCTCCATGGAACAATCTCCTTTATTCAGGTTGCCCCCACAGCAGCTGCTGTGATTAACGTGGGTGGCATCGAAAGGGATAGGAAGCAGGATTAGTGTTCACTTAAAAAAACCCTGATAGTTGTTTTTTTTTTTTCTCTTCAGCCAGTGGCCATGAAGTAATGAAGGTGGTCTCCCTATTAACTGCAATTACCTATGGGTGTAAGGCAGAAGTAAAATTAATGCAGACTTTTTTTTTTTGGAAACAGAGCCATATGAGGCATCTCTGTGGTGGGAGAGGGGAAAAGTTATTCAAGCAGTGCAACAGCACCTAGTGATGTGTCACCTCGTGTGGTTTCCATTTTTTTCTTTCCTTTATATATTCACCCAGGAAACTTTTCTTTTTTCACCTGACAAGGTGGTCCCAAAGTCCAAAAAGCTGAGACTCTGCTCATGTGGCAGATATTTGCATCTTTGAGTACAGTTGGTGGGAGCTGAGGACACCGAGCATCTGTCAATTTTTGAACAAGGTTACAGGGTGTGACATACGAGCGCCTCCCAAGAATGTTGTAAGTGATGCATCCCCTGGGGCTGCTTTTCACATCCTCTCCTTGGGAGAGGATAATGCTTCAGCCTTTGCTGGTCTGGGGACTGTAAAGTTTGGGAACCCTGCTTGCCTGAGCTATATGACATCCCCCCAGGTCATTCAGCAGCTTAGCTGACTTGAAATAGAACACTGGAATGAAATATGTTCTGAGTGATTTTTAAGTAATAGCTAATGTGAAAATGTGGGAGTTTGAACCAATGTAAACACATTAAATTTAAAACAATTTTCAAAGGTAGTAAAGGGAGAAAAAAAAGTGTTCCTGCTCTTGAAATTCCTAAAGGACACATTTCTCCTTCTTAGTCACGATTTAATTAGATTATATTTTATTAGACATTCTTTACAAAATTTAAAATACTGCTATTATACATGCACAAAGGAAGATCTGTTTGAACAGTTTTATGTAGGCATTCACTGAAGTCAACCACAAAACAGGAACATTTTATGTCAGTTATCAATGTACTCGATACGTATATCTAAAGTGCATTATGTTACAAAAAATATAGAAAGTCAGCAGCACCAAGATACTTTCACAAAATAAATACACCAGTCAACAAAATAAATTATGGTAAATGTAACAATAATCATTGTCTCAGCCATAGCAAAAAAAAAAAAAAAAAGGAAGTTCACAATAACCAAATGTGCAGTTTCAGAGAGCAATGGGGGGGAAAAAAGGTTTTATTCTGAGCATTTACAATATTTACAGGTAATAAATATTTTAATACTTCCCATATGTTCACTATTACAGAATACTGCAATATGTCTTCCAAAATTCTCTTGCTGAAAACGTCAGCGCCTCCTGCAAAGACAAAAAAGAGAGAAAAATAGGAAAATAAATTTTCACTTCAAATACATGGGGGTAAAATTCCTAGCAAGAGTGCCACAAACTGTGACAGGTATGCCTTCCTGGTCAACATTTGTAATAACAGGGCATGTTGAGCAGTGCTACAGTTTTAGACATCTTCTCAAGACCTCTGTTGTATTTCCCTCAATGCAACTCAGAAGACCTGCAGTTTGTCTTGACACTGAGTCCATCATTTCCACTATATTCTGCACTCAGAGAAACAGGAAGACACTTTAGTTCTCTTTAGAGCCTTATGCAAGAAGATGGCTGGGTGTTACAGGTAGAAAATTTATATCAAACTCCCTAAATATGCCAGGTGCTAAAGGGGGAAAAAAAGCACAGCCGAAGAAATGAGAAATTTGTTTCTAAGATAAGAAAAGTCCTTTTTGAACACGGTGGCAATCGTGTCATAGAATCCTTTAGGTTGGAAGGGACCTTCAAGATCATCAAGTCCAACCATTGAGCCATTAGAGCTCTAAAGTCCTCTGCTAAAACAGATCAGAATCTGTCAGGGTTGGACGGGACCACAAGGATCACCCAGTTCCAACCCCCCTGCTGTGTTAACCACTTGAGTGTGATGCCAGGCTTCGGGTTAAAACAATCCCAGGGGGTTTATTTGGTCTGTCCTTCCCTTGTTTGTTAGACAAGGGTCTGTTGGTCTCAGAGCTCTATATTTCTGTGGTGTCATGTACATGACTATAGGCAGGACTCCTTTAGTAAAGGCTGCTCAGGTCTTGAAGTAAACAGACCCTTGACAGTGTGTTTCTTTAAGTGCTTCAATGAGTGAAAAGACCATAATCCTGAAAATTTCCCTTTATGAGCCAAAGAGCTTGGTCCTGAAAGAAAACGAGCATCTCCTCATGTTAAGCTCTGACTCGTGTTGTATTCAGTCCAAGCTGAAACAGTCAGCTGTACACAGCCTGAAGATTTGGGAGTTTTCTAAGGGATGCTGGCATCCTGATGCGAGTTCTCCACTCCTCCTCTTCTTGTGAAGGCATGAGAACAAAAGTAGAGCCTGCTCCTATCCTGTCAGTATACTAATTATGCTACAATATTATTTCAAGTTATTTCCCAGCAGGAGATGCTGAAGGGTTGGGCTTTTTTCCCTTCTACCCCTGTGAATGGCACATTTCTGTAGTGCATGTTGGTTCCCTGAGGAACAGCTCTGGAGTGGAATGTGAAGCTATAGGATGGAGAAGGATTCACTTTGTTGTTGGATCACCAAAGCTGCATGTATCATTCTACATGGCAGATGTGTGTGGGTGTGAGACAAAAACCACCCAAATCCTTGAGAGTTTAAGAGGGTGTTTTGGGTTTTTTTTTATGTGCACATTAAAAGTGAGGCTACATTTAACAGAGAGTTTAGTCATTTGAAAGGTTTCTTAGGAAATTAGGTAATAAGAGCTTAATTGAATTAGAAGGGGAATATAGCTGGGATGTCCATGAGAAAGAAGTTTTTTAAGAGCCTGGAATGGAAATGTTTGGATGAAGCTCCTTAATAATTAACTAGTAATATTAGGGTGTACTGAGGCTATATTGCAATATATATAATAATGGCACACAATTCATACAGCGTGGCTGTATGTGTGTCTCTGCAATGCACACGCCTGTTTTTAAGAGGATGACATTTTCAGTTTGGCTTGGATTTTAGGCTTTGTTTTCCAGTTTAAGCTAAGCCACATCTTGACAATGGCCTCTGTACTAATGACTGCTTCCCAGAGCCTCTCTGTGATTTGGTCCCCGATTTTGCAAGACTGGCTTCTTTTACAAGATACTTCCTGTAGTAAGTCAAAATATCTAGAGAGCACATTATTGTTGGTCTTTTTCTGACCTAAACCCAACATTTTGGGATAAAGATTATGCAGAGGGAATTGGCATGGGGATTTTAATTCAGCTGAGCAGAAAAGAAGCACAAAGATACTGTGAAAAGTACACTTTAAGTTTATCTTTGCTCTTCCTTGTTATTATGCATACCCACAATTGAAGTAATGATGCTTCTCTTGGGGTGCTACAAATGCAGCTTCCACAGGGGTGGCATATGGAAATCCTGTTTGCACACACCTTCCACCAGATTAGAAGTTCCTGATTCAACTCAGTATAGCTGAGGAATCAACCTTACTCAGATGTGGTCATACCTCCATCTAAAATGTGCTTGCCCAACTTGTGCCAACAACTGCATTGAACCCAGCTCCCCCTGTCTGAAGTGCATGTCAGGAAGCTGGGACTTGCTTTCATTTAAAGTTACAAATTTTATCTTTTGCCAGTCTACTGGGATAACTACAAGCTCATATACTAGTAGTTTCTTAAGACCTGAACCAACACATTATGCTCTGTATTGGTGAAGGATTAATTTTGTTTTCCTGCTTATGTCTTCTCTTTGTTTAATAATCTTCAACTGAGTATCTAAAATAGAGATTATCTTTAGGAATTTGTTTCTTGCCTTGGAGAAATACAGTATCTTGAGCAATAATATCAGTAAAACAAAGCTAGACTGCTTTCACCAGTAGGGGTTGTACCTGTAATTCTTTTACATATCCCATTGGAGATACAACCAAAACAGAGTAGTAAGAAAAAGAAATAACATTTGCAATGTCCTAAGATGTTTTTTTCCACTACATTCAAGATTTCTGTATACTGAAGACAGATGTTATTTGTTGGCTACCACAGTTCCTTAACATCTGTTGAGGCATCAGGTGTCTCCTGCCTGGAGCGCTTTCCTAAGGCACTGAGACAAACCAGCCTCTCCTACTTCACTACTAACTCCTACAGCCCTGCTAACTGGTTTATGGTCCCAGACACTGAATGCCTAGCCTCAAATGCTGGTAACTCCTGCAGACGCCAGCAAAAGTTGAGGCAATGGAGCACTTTAAAAACTGTGGCCCATAAAGTTTAACTGAAGACTGGATTTTAGTAAATCCCACAGCTGGCATCTCTTTCTAGGGGATTTACTGTGAGAAAGTGGCACTTCTTTTAAGTCTCTACTCTGCCAAAGTGAAGGGGAGGAGGAGAGAAAAAGTTGGGAGATATTGCTGTTGGAAATGCAAAAATTTGAGGAGAACTAAGGAATGGACTCCTTGGCTTTGTCTGCAAGTGTGTAGACTTGCACTCAAGGTGAGATGCTTGAGGCACCTAGGTGGAAGTCTCCAGCTTGCCACTGCCCTGAAAACCCTTCATTGTCATGCATGAAGCAGGTCACTCTCCAAAAGCAATGCTCAACATTTTTCAGCAGCAATGTAATTGTTTCACGAGCTGGCAAAAAGATGGAGATGAATTAAAAAGTCCTAATGGCAGGGAAAATTTTATGGCAAAAGGCTGGTCTGCATTGTTTGCAGATATTACTAAGAGAGACATTTTCCCTGTTCTCCCCTAAGGTTAAACAGTAAAATGAAAAACTGTAAAGTAAGGGTAGGAAAGTTGCCAAAAAGGGGAGGTGTTGAGAGGGAGGAAAGAGAACTTCTCCATTTTATAGATGCAGAGCCTTAAATAAAAATCACATCTTTCAATCTGCTGAGGCCCAAGACTGAGACCAAGATCTGACCTGAGAAACACTACAGTAAAAAGAGGAAAGGGAATTCTAAATGCCTATGATGTGCTTTCTTTTTTGCAGAAACAACTTTACTTCCTCAGATTCGGGAAGCTCATTTTGTCAACAAGTGGTTTACCTGAAAGATTTTGTCACCAGTGCCAAGTGGAAAGGGTACTTACCTACCTCCATGAAGTACCTTGAGATTCTGCACTGCTTGAAAAGCCACTGACCAGTTAGGAGCACAAAGATGTGCTGTTTTTCTAGGTTTGAGTGAGGCCTTTGCCTCTCACGCCAAGGGATAACAATTGCAGTAAATACACGATACACTCCCCAAAAAGAGACAGCAGGATTACCTTAAAGTGTGATTCTGTGTAGTACCAGAGTTGTCCAACAGCGTGCTCTCAGTCACCCCGCTTTCATACATGCCAGAATTTAGCCAAACTGAGCGGGCTCGCCTCTTTTTCTTCTCCTGTTCCTTACGTTTTCCAGGCTTTGCTTTCTTTTTCTTCCCCGATACCTTCAGGGGCTGCTCCTTGTAGGTCTGTGATTTATTTGTCTCTTGAGTTAGGTACCTGCCCTCATCTTCACTACCAAAACGCACAGGGTAGTTCTTCGTGTTCGTAGCAGGTTTAGGATTAGGTGAAACCTCTGAAGTCGCACGGATTTCTGCAGTGTTGACACCTTCGATTAAATTTTGGAGGAATATTCTTCTTCGTAAGTCTTGGATCGACTTGCCCTTGTCATGCAATAGCTGGTGCTCTGATACAGCCCGTTTGCTAAAGAAAAAGAGAGGAGAGAGGAAAAAAAAGACATTTGGTTATTGCCCACTACTTGGCAAAGCTCCTTTCTCCTCTGGCAGTGGTGGCTACACAGTGACTGTGTACCAGCTCTCAGGCTTGGAGACATAGAGTTAAGTCCAACTGCTGGACCAAGTCCTGCTTCTCAGAGTAGCTGCTCCCTACAGAGAAGGGAAAGACCTAAGTGGGTAATAATTCTCGGCTGACCAATCGCCCACCACTGGACCTGGAGGTGGATTAGTCACTGCTCTGTTCTAGGAAAGCATTACAGCTCTTCATAGATCACACTTCAGGCAGTAAAAGCAGGAAGGCAGTTGTCAGAGATAGGAAAACTAAAGGGTCAGGTAATGGAGCACTGCAGTCAAGCTGTGAGGGGGGATAACAAGTGCTTGTACCGAAGCTGGAAGCAGTGTTTATGGATCATCATTCTAAAGATTTTCTTCTGCTCAATCATGTACTTCAAAAACATAAATAAATACATAAAAGTACATTTAATTTCTAAATTTAAATAAGTGCAATTGCAGGAACATAATAGAAAAATGTTCAAATTTGAGAGTCTGAAACAGACACTTCAGTTCATAATGAGCTATACAGAGAGGCAGCCTGGGCATCAGCAGAGATGAGCCTCAGCCACTTATCTGTTGATTTTACTGCTTGCCCACTTGTGCCTAATTATGGGTTTAGATGCTTTTCCAGCATTCCTTTAAGCTGAACTTTTGGAGACAAATATCTTGTCTGTTGTGCCCTTTGAGTTTTACACTAACCCTCTTCACTGGATCTTCTTGAAGAGCATCCTGGCTTTGTTTCTGGTACTTTCCCAGAGCTTGTGGTGTTTTGGTTCACTACTGACTTGTTTTTGTGGAACTAGGAGATGGTTAGCTACCTGTCTTTCAGAGATGTTGTCCAGGCAATGAAGGTATGAAACATCTGAGGGTAGGAGATACAAGTGGTACCTGGATAATAAATAACTACAAGAAACTACATGCTTTGTCCTTGATGTGGGATAGATGCACAGCTGCACTGGGAACTTCAGAAAGAGTGCAAGCTGGGATTTTAGCTATGTTCCCATGAATGCTATAGTACAACTTATCCTTCCAATTGCCCTCCTTCAGTGTGCAGAGCTTGGCTCTGTATCCCCACATCTTGCATCAGGGTGCTGCATGAGATTGGATTCTTATTGGCCAAAGCAGATGAATTCACTACCTTACCTATCATCTAATCATTAATCAGGTAGATGTGAAGTTGTTTCTGCATGTGGGTGAAATGGGAGAAGACTAGGAGTGAATAATCCTTCCTTCCACCCCATCCCTAACTAACCTGATAGGTTTCAGAATGTGGTGGACAAATGATTGGGAGAGTTCTGAAATTTATCTGGTTCAGTCTCTTACACCAAACTCTTTAGATCTGTGATCTGATCAACAGCAGAGCTATTTGAAGTAGGCAACTTCAAGTAGCATTGGTTTCAGAGCATTCCTTTCACTTTTTGTCTTTGTAGAGCTGCACTTCTTGATTATTGGGCTCAAGTGATGAGTTCAAGTGATACTACAACTCAATTAGTGTAAAATTCAAGCAGCAGCTTTCCCCCATTCCACAAGGAGACTGAAAGATGACTGTTGTTATTGCATGGAGTCATACAGTAGGGATGCTTGCTCAAAATCAGGACTAGCTACATTCAGGTTTGAGAGCACACATTTGGCCAAACATTATCTGTGGTTTAAGCCACCTAAACTGTGTTTTGAGTGACTTTAGGTTTTAGGACAAATACTCTGTGCCCTTCAACACAATGCCCTTAAGCAAAAATGCAATGTGATAATACTGAGCTGGGTTCACATTGTTTCTTTCTCTTCAGTGCAGCTCTGACCATTAGTGCAAGCTCCAGTAACCTACTTTCCCAGGATATGTGCATGGGAAATTCAGTTCTTCTTTCACTCTTTTAGTTTATAAAAAGCATATAAAATCTCAGTGCTTTACAGAGTCTAAACCAGCATGTCTCATGTGATGAGCAAAGCTTTCCTACTGCCTCTTGTAAACTACCAAGGATAATTCCCTTTATCACAGACAACCTAAAGCTGCCTTGATCCTCTAATGTGTATTTGGTCAATTTACCCGCTCTGACAAAATCTTGAATCTCTAAAGCCTGTTATTAAAGTACTCTTGATTGAAAGGCTATTCCATTTTACAGGGCTGAAATGTAAAGATTCAGTTCCAGTACACACAAGGCAGTCAAAGAGCATTACAAGATCTACATCTTGAGTGAGTATGCATTTCCAGAATAATGCAGGGGCTGACGTGTGCAGGGTTAGTGTGCCAAAGAGGGTGAGTTTCTGTTTAGATGTCTGTAGGATATTTAGCATCAAGTCTGGCCCCAAATAACATTCTGCTATTCCAGATGATTGTATAACATTACGTAGTGTTACATTTCACATGACTGCTATTACTCAGTCAGACTTAAGGATTACATTTTGCCTACTAACTTCCTTTGTATGCTCTGGATCAAAAATCTCTTTAAAACAAAGAAGATGTTGTAGATGCATATCTCTCTGACCTTCTGCCTCCTTCTGCCACAATTATTCAAACAACTCCTGTGTTTGTAAATCAGGGAAAAAACACTTGCCCAAGAAGGCTGATGTAAGAAGTGCTTCATAATGAAGATATCAACAATATCTCACCCACACACAGAGAGTAGGAAGGCAGTGGAAACTGGAATGATTGCATTCATCTGTTGGGTAGGATATGTAAAAAAATATTAGGCTGTTAGGGTTAAGATGACCCACTAGAGGTCCCTTCCATCCTTCTATAAAATGCACCTCTCATTCAAGGAAAGAGAGTCTGTACCCAAACCAAGTGCAGTAAATGCTAAGCATACATGTGGTAGACACTTTTGAGAGGAGGATGTTGATGGTTTGTATCTAACCAGAGTGTCCAAACTAATTACTGTATTCAAGTACACTATGCACATATGAGACCTAAGGTCTCATTATGGGGAGAACAGTAGAAGTCTATGACTTGTGACTATCCTGACTTCATGTACTTCCAGATAAGCTGTTCTTTTCAGGCACATTGCTTCCAATTTTTTTTTTCCCCTAGATATCTAGCATCATTGAGAGGCAACAACTTTCTGTCTTAGAGAGTTACTCTTGTTTAACTGTTATTATCCTTGACTATTCACATGCAGGCTCATCCTAAGTTCAGCAAAATAACTGTAAAGTATTCAGTCAGCTCTCTGTCTGGATTTTGCAAGACTGAGTGCCCTTGCCACTGTCTCCAAAGGGAGTGAAAGCTACTCAAGCTATCTCAGGGTTAGGAAAAATATTTTGAACAGATCTGGGGACACGATGCTACAGCGTCTGGGCACATTGATAAAAATATCTAATTTCACTTTGAGGCATTGTTTGGTTTCTCAGAAGTTCTTTAGCAGCTAAAGCGTTTCTATAACAAATAATACGTCTGGCAGTTTTTTTCTTGGGACAATTTGCTGTTGCTCTCCATGGGAGATTTGCCTCAGTAAAGTCTGTAGAACCAGGCCTATGTAATTTTGATTATTTTTGCATGGCTATAATAATGTGCTTCAGTATTTTCATCCATTACTGGTTTAAGCCTTTGACTGAAAAAAAATATCTCTAGGCTTAAGTGAGTTATTAACCATTAACTCTAGGAATGGTTTGTGGTGATATTAAAACAAGACACATGTTTGAGTGTGGTGTCTGTGTTTGTGCTGTACCCACAAACAAAACTACGTGAATGCCACTAACTGACAGCTGACTGGTTTCTTGTGTGTGTTTTACATGCCAGAGCTAAGAGGGAGCTGAGAAATGCATTTTGAACATTTAGCTTCCACTTTTTTTTTGCCCTCCTGTCAAGACAAAATAGAGATGTTGGGAAGACCTCTAATCCTGACCTTTAAATATAAGTGTTAGAACAACACTAACTTCAAAAACAGAGTGAGTATGTCTTATCAAATCTAACCTTTTTTAAAAATACATTTGGCTTAGATCCAGTTCAAAGTTTCCTAGCCAAGAAAATAACAGCACTTGGCAGTACTTCAATTATTTTCCTTTTTTATTTCTGTAACTGAAGTTTAGTTCCTCTATATCCAATGAGAAGAAAATGGTATTAAATGAAAGAAATAGCTCAACAGCAGTTTGCAGGAGTACAGAACAGCTAAGCATTAGTGGACTGGGAAGAATACACTGTAACATTATCACCAATAACGTGTTCTACACGATTTGCTGTAGGAGATTTGTAATAGCTGTCTGCCTGCTGCCAAAGTTTAGGTGTGTCTGAAGTCACTTCACCTGGGGGATTTTTTTTTCTTGCCTAAACGGCAGAGGAGTTGCTATTTGGAGATCTTGTCCTTATGTATGTAATAAAACATTTGCAAGGAAAGCCACTCGAAGTCGTTTGCTGTGTCATGTTTCCCTATAAGTTGCAACTGGATTTTCCAGCCTTCTTTCTCCAACCTGATTTCCTTTTGAACTTAGTACCAATACAGCCCTCCACAATACGACTGAGGTGTTTATTCCTTAGAATATCTGATGCAAGTCCAGTGGAAGCCAGTGAGCTAGATGTGTGAGGCAACCGCTTCTACATCAGCCCCGTGGCTTCTCTTCTGCACTTTGCGTAGGGGTATTAATATAAACCATGCTGATTATTTTGGAAGGAGCAAAAAGGTCATTTCCTGAACAGCCTCTCTTAAGTTACATTATCGTTTATCAAAAAATATGCTCCTGCCTCCAAGTCAGAGACTGGATTCCCTTTGGATTTTTTTTTTTTCTTTCCCTCAAGTGGCAAAAATCCAAAGAAATTGTTTGGTGCTTCAGTTTCATGATGTCCCTCACTACTGCGTGGTGCCCCTACCCGAGGCTCCACGCCAGCGCTGAAGAAGTGTCTGTTATTTAGTGTAACCTAAGGCAGGGATGCTCTCTACTGGGACTTTCCCAGGGCACAGGAAGGTGTACTGCTGCTCCGCTCAGGAGAGACCCTCAACTTTAACATCTCCTTCCTCAAAGCTGTGTAAAGTCAGCCGGCTGCAAGGCGACATTTCGCTGCCCCCAAGCCCTCTGCCCATTGCCTAGACCCCACCAGCAGAGCACCTGGGGCAGGTAACCCGGAGCCGCTGCGCTGCGGAGCTAGAGGATCAAAAACCTTCCGAGGGGGGAGGTTGGAGGGGAAGGGGGGGACCGGTCACCTCCCTCCCAACCCGCACCGTTACCGAGGCCAGGAAAAAAAAAACTAAAGAGAAGAAAGAAAAAGAGAAACTCACAGTCTGCGGCTGATCCCCTCTACTGATCTCCCGTAAGAGGGCACGGAATAGCTCAGCAGAAACACTGCGAAACTCCACTGCTGGAAGAGTTTAGTGAACATTGTATCCTCCGGGACTTAAAACCTGCAAGGAAAGGGAGATCAGTCCTGAGGGACACATGCGCCAGCGCCGTCCTCAAGCAGTCCCCGTTCTCGGCTCTCCCAGCTCCCAGGCTGTGAAGGAAAAACAAACGTTCTGAGCTCTAGGCAGCAGCTCACTTCTTCCAAACTTCTCTCCGTCTCTCTCCCTTCCTTGCTGTCTGCCTCTCCCTCCCTCCTCCCTTCCTCCTTCCCTCCCTCCCTCCCTCCCTCTCTCTCTCTCTCTCTCTCTCAGTCGCTGCCCGGAGGCAAGATCTCTCTCAATATTAGTAAAAAGAAATCATCCAGCTCCTATTTGAGTCGGGTTAGAGAGCGCGTCCGCTTGTCTCCCTCAACTCCATCCACTTCCAGCCCGCTAAGCCGCCTTCTCAGGGCTTTCTGTTCCGGGAGAAGCCCACTTTACAGAGAAGCAGAGATTCCCAAAAGTCAGCTCAGCACCCTCTCGGCTGTAAAGGCACGCAAGGGGACACACACACACAAACACACATCCAGGCGCGGGGGGGAAGGGGGGGATGCGTCTGTACAGCTGTCTTTAAGTATACCTCTGGAAAAAAAAAAAAAAGGTCAAGTTCACGTCCTCTGCTCCTGGAAAGTTTGGTCCAGGGCTGTGCCAAGGAACGGGAGCTCAAGCAAAGAGCGCTGCCCGGCTGCAGAGCCCGAGAGCTTTGAGAGGAGCGGGAGCCCGGGGGGGTTCAGGGGGGGCTCAGCACGCTTGGCCCCGCAGGTTGGACTGGGCTGGAGCCTGCGATGTTCACACGCTCCGGAGCAGCCTTTTGGGAGACCTTGAGGGTTTTGCAAAGAGATGGCGCCCTAGGAACATGTGCGGAGAGAGCAAGAGCCCGGCTGGGATACCCACAGCCAAGAAGGAGGCTAGAAATC